CAGGCTCGGTGGCCATGTCTCACGGGCCCAGCCGCTCCGCGGCACGTGGGATCCTCCCGGACCGGGGCATGAACCCGCGTCCCCTGCATCGGCAGGCGGACTCTCAACCACTGCGCCACCAGGGAAGCCCAATAGATTTTTTAATATTGAAGCAGCCTTGCATGCCTGGAATGAACATCTCACATATTTTTCTTTCCCATTTGAAGTCGAGTTCTGAGCAGGAAGAAACTTTTTGGTTCATTTTATTCATTGCTGTATCCTAGTCCCCAGAACAACACCAAGCATACAGTAAGCTCTCAACACCGACTCGTCGAATGAATGAAAGAACAGTAGAGCTGTGAAGAGAATTCCCAAGATTAATGTGAAGGGAGATTCCAGGATGACAGCTGTGGGCAGCCAGTCCAGGTGGAACAGGTCAGAAGGCTCTAGAAGAGCCTGCAGAGCCTGAATGCCCTGAGAAGAGGTCTAGATAGTCTGCAGTGCTTTGGGGTTGATTTGATAAGTACATAGAAAAGTAAGCAAGCAAACAAACAAACAAGCATTTTTTAAAAAAAGGTAATTATCATCGTGGTGCATCCACACAATGGAATATTATTCTAAGAAGAAATGAGCTATCAAGCCACAAGGAGACATGAAAGGAGGAGCCTTAAATGCATATTTCGAAGTGAAAGAAGCCAATCTGAAAAAGCTACATCCTGTATGATTCTAACTATATGACATTCTGAAAAAGGCAAAGCTATGGAAACAGTTAAAGATCAGTGGTTGCCAGGGGTTAGGAGAGGGAAAGATGAATAGACAGCACGGAGGATTTTAGGCAGTGAAACTACTCTGGATGATACTATAATGCTGGCTACGTGTCCTTATACATTTATCCAAATCCAGAGAATGTACAATACCAAGAGTGAACCCTCATGTAAACTATGGACTTTGGGTGATTGTGATGTGTCAGTGTATGTTCATCAGTAGTTACAAGTGTACCCCTCTGCTGGGGGATGTTGATGATGGGGGAGGCCGTGTGTTGGGGTTGGGGGGCTCGGGGGTAGTATATGGGAACCTTTCTACTCCATTTTGCTGTGAATCTAAAATTGCTCTAAAAAATAAAGTATGTTTTAAGCTAATTATGAACTCCAGAGAAAACAAAAGTTGCCCAGGAGAAGAGAACTCACAGTTCGCTCTATGGGTTCAGTCAGGACCACGTCCAGGTATTTGTGGGGCCTGAAGTTTATACAACTGAGGGAGGACTCTTTAAGAAAAGAAAAGCCCCGGGCTTCCCTGGTGGCGCAGCGGTTGAGAGTCCGCCTGCCGGTGCAGGGAACGCGGGTTCGTGCCCCGGTCCGGGAAGATCCCACGTGCCGCGGAGCGGCTGGGCCCGTGAGCCATGGCCGCTGGGCCTGCGCGTCCAGAGCCTGTGCTCCGCAACGGGAGAGGCCGCAGCGGTGAGAGGCCCGCGTACCGCAAAAAAAAAAAAAGAAAGAAAAGAAAAGAAAAGCACTAAATCAGAAAAAATCTGATTACCTCTCAGAGCATTTTCTGGAATCTTTGTACCTTCCCTGTCCTGATCTGTGGGTATGTTTGGGGGACAGCGAAGCAGGGAGGGGGCTGATGAGTCCTGAAAACCCCAAGGAAAGCCCAGAACTCCAGAAGGTACAGCAGCCCCTTGCTGGTGCCCACCAGCCTGGGACTAAGCACAGACTCCTGGGCGAGCACCCCGGACCCCCGCACCAGGCAGGCTCCTTCGCCTGCCCCTTCAGGTCACCAGGCTGGTGCCCGGCTCCTCAAGACTCAGCGCCATCAGAACCATTTTTCTTAGATTCCATATACATGTGTTAGCATACGGTATTTGTTTTTCTCTTTCTGACTTACTTCACTCTGTAAGACAGACTCTAGGTCCATCCACCTCACTACAAATAACTCAATTTCGTGTCTTTTTAGGGCTGAGAATAAAGATGCAGATGTAGAGAATGGACTTGGGGACCCGGCGGGGTGGGGAGGGTAAGCTGGGACGAAGTGAGAGGGCAGCATGGACATATATACACTACCAAACCTAAAATAGAAAGCTAGTGGGAAGCAGCCGCATAGCACAGGGAGATCAGCTCTGTGCTTTGTGACCACCTAGAGCGGTGGGATAGGGTGGGTGGGAGGGAGACGCAAGAGGGAGGGGATATGGGGATATATGTATACTATACGTATAGCTGATTCACTTTGTTATACAGCGGAAACTAACACACCATTGTAAAGCAATTATACTCCAATAAAGATGTTAAAAAAAAAAAAAAAAAAAAGACTCAGCACCAAGGCTGCCTCTTGATGAACGAACTCCCCACCCTCTTCCCCAGAGTTGCCTGCAGGGGGCATGGGAAGAAGCCCAACGGACATGGATTTGAACCCCAGCTCTGCCACGTGTGAGTTACATGGCCTCGGACGTGTCACTTGACCTCCCAGAACTTTGTGTTTTATCTTCTGTAAATGCAAATAATAATGTCCGTCCTGCAGGGCTGTTGGCAAGAACAAACACCTGATATAATGCTGGACACGTGGTGAGGGTGAGGAAAAACGTCTTTCTTACTTTTTTTTTGGCGGGGGGTGGGGCACGCGGCATGTGGGATCTTAGTCCCCTGACCAGGGCTTGAACCCGTGCCCCTCTGCAATGGAAGCGTGGAGTCTTAACCACTGGACCACCAGGGAAATCTCACATCTTTCTTACTTTCTAGTAGCATTAAAATTTTTTTTTAATTGTGGTAAAATACAAATAAAAGAAAATTTACCATCTTAACCAGGTTTTAAGTGTATAGTTCTGTGGCATTAACTACGTTCGCATTGTTAATCACCACCATCCATCCACAGAACTGTTTTCATCTAGCAACACAATTTCTGTCCCCATTAACACTAACTCCCCATTCCTGCCCTTATCTTTACTGGACGTGTTCCTTAAAACACATAACATATTCCATAAAGTACTGTTAGCCTCTGTGACTGGACTCCTTCCTTCTACCTGGTGTAGTGAGCTATTTACCTATATTAATCCCCCACCTGGTCCAGAGGCGTCTCATATCCCTGCCCCACAGAGCCTAGTACAGGGCCGGGCCCACAGTAATGCCAGCTCCAGGGAGAAGTGCAGAATGCCTGAGGGAGATGAACAGACAAAGGGTCCCCATGGGTTTGTGGTCTGATTTTACGTAGTGGGTGCTCAGAAAATATTGAAAGTCTAAAAGATGATATAAACGATTTTTGTAAACTTTTACATATTTTTTGAATGGGTAAAGTATTCTAAATTCAAAAGCTACAAAAGAAAACACAGTGGAAAGTAAAGGTCCCTCCACCTCTGTCCTCCAGCCCCTCACCAGAGGCAGCTGCTGTGACCAGTTTCTCCTGTATCTGTCCAGAGGCCTGTGTGTGTGTGTGTGTGTGTGTGTGTGTGCGCGTGTGTTTGTGCACTTACACACACACACACCAGCATGCTTTACACACTGTTCTGCACATTTTCCTTTTATTCTCTTGTCTCATCTTTGAGATTCTTCTCTATCCTTCTCTATCAGTACATAGAGGGTTTCCCTACTGTTTTTTTTTGCTTTGTTTTGTTTTGTCTTTTATTTTTGTCCACACGGCACAGCCTGTAGGATCTTACTTCCCCCACCAGTTCCCGCCCTTCAGCAATGAAAGCACAGAATCCTAACCACTGGACCGCCAGGGAATTCCCTCCCTACTCTTTTTTTTTTTTTTTTTCTTGCTTTATGCGGGCCTCTCACTGTTGTGGCCTCTCCCATTTGCGGAGCACAGGCTCCGGACGCGCAGGCTCAGCGGCCATGGCCCACGGGCCCAGCCGCTCCGCGGCATGTGGGATC